AATTAAGCGGTTTATGTGTTTATATTACTAAACCAATCATTGAATCACATGTCTATAAACATTACAAGACATTTGGAGTGTAAACCCACCTTATTGTACAATTTGGCCTATGTACTAAGAGTTCGTACTCGTGTACGTCTTGCAATTATGACACAATTAAGCGGTTTATGTGTTAATATGACTAAACCAATCACTGAATCACATGTCTATAAACGTTACAAGACATTTGTATTGCAAACCCATCTTATTGTACAATTTGGCCAATGTACTAAGAGTTTGTACTCGTGCATGTTTTGTCATTATGACACAATTATGCGGTTTATGTATTTAAATGACTAAACTAATCAATGATTCACATGTCTATTAACGTTACAAGACAGTTGGACTGCAAATCCACCTTATTGTACAATTTGGAGTCGATAGTAAGAGTTCGTAGTCGTGCATGTTTTGTCATTACGACACAAGTAAGCGGTTTATTTGTTTATATTACTAAACAATCATTGAAACACATGTCTATCAACATTACAAGACATTTGGCGTGCAAATACACCTTATTGTACAATTTGGAGTCGGTACTAAGAGTTCGTACTGGTGCATGTTTTGTCATTATAAAACAATAAAGCTGTTTATGAGTTCATTTTACTAAACCAATCATATAATCACAGGTCTATCGACGTTACAAGACATTTGGAGTGCAAATCCAGCATATTGTACAATTTGGACTCGGTAGTAAGCGTTTGAACTTGTGCAGGTTTTGTAATTATGACACAATTAAGTGGTTTATTTTTTTATATGACTAAACCATTCATTGAATCACATGTCTATCTACGTTACAAGACATTTGGAGTGCAAATCCACATTATTGTATAATTTGGATTCGGTACTAGTGGTTCTTACTCGTTCATGTTTTGTCATTCTGACACAATTTAAGTGGTTTATGTGCTAATATTACTAAACCAATCATAGAATCACATGTATAACAACATTACAAGATATTTGGAGTGCAAACCCACCTTATTGTACAATTTGGCCTATGTACTGCGAGTTCGTACTCCTGCACGTCTTGTAATTATGATACAATTAAGCGGTTTATGTGTTTATTTGACTAAAACAATCAATGAGTCACATGTCTATCAACATTACAAGACATTTGGAGTGCAAACCCACCTTATTGTACAATTTGGCCTATGTACTAAGAGTTCGTACTTGTGCACCTTTTCTAATTATGACACAATTAAGTGGTTTATGGGTTTATATGACTAAACCATTCATTAAATCACATGTCTATCTACATTACAAGAAATTTGGAGTGCAAATCCACCTTATTGTACAATTTGAGTCGGTAGTAAGAGTTCGTACTCGCGCATGTTTGGTCATAATGACACAATTAAGCGGTTTATGTGTTTATATTACTAAACAATTCATAGAATCACATGTCTATCAACGTTACAAGACATTTGGTGTGCAAATCCACCTTATTGTACAATTTGGACTCGCTAGTAAGAGTTTGTACTTGTGCACGTTTTGTAATTACGACACAATTAAGTGGTTAATGTGTTTATATAACTAAACTATTCATTGAATCACATGTCTATCTACGTTACAAGACATTTGGAGTGCGAATCCACCTTATTGTACAATTTGGAGTCGGTCGTAAGAGTTCGTACTCGTGCATGTTTTGTCATTATGATACAATTAAGCGGTTTATGTGTTTATATTACTAAACCAATCATTGAATCACATGTCTATAAACATTACAAGACATTTGGAGGGCAAACCCACCTTATTGTACAATTTGGCCTATGTACTAAGAGTTCGTACTCGAGCACGTCTTGTAATTATGACACAATCAAGCGGTTTATGTGTTTATTTGACTAAACCAATCAATGAATTACATGTCTATCAATGTTACAAGACATTTGGAGTGCAAACCCACCTTATTGTACAATTTGGCCTATGTACTAAGAGTTCGTACTCGTGCATGTTTTGTCATTATGACACAATTAATTGATTTATGTGTTTATATTACTAAACCAATCATAGAATCACATGTCTATCAACATTATAAGACATTTGGAGTACAAATCCACCTTATTGTACAATTTGGACTCGGTAGGAGGAGTTTCTACTTGTGCACGTTTTGTCATTATGACACAATTAAGCGGTTTATATGTTTATATGGCTAAACCAATCAATGAATCATATGCCTATAAACAATACAAAACATTAGGAGTGCAAATCCACCTTATTGTACAATCTGGACTCGGTAGGAAGAGTTTCTACTTGTGCACGTTTTGTCATTATGACACAATTAAGCGTTTTATGTGTTTA